TGGTGGAGACGTTTATGGCTGTATGGAGACGTTTATAGCTGTGTGGGGACGTTTATAGCTGTGTGGGGACGTTTATAGCTGGGTGTGTGGAGGCCTATAGCAGTGTGGAAAGGTTTATAGCTAGTTGTGTGGGGACATATATAGCTAGTTAAGTTTGGGAGGTATAGCTGTGTGGTGACGTTTATAGCTGTGTGGGGACGTTTATTGCAAGTTGTGTTGGGAACTCTATAGCAAACTATGTGGGGACGTCTACAGCTAATTGTGTGGGGAGGTCTATAGCTAGTTAAGTTGGAAAGTATAGCTGAGTAGTGACGTTTATAGCTAGCTGACGGCCATAACTGGCTTGGCTATAATGGCTTCAGTGCATTTTGCGGTGGCCATAAAGAGCCATGATCGTCGAATGAAATACATTTTGTCATCCATGTTTGAACTGCTGTTCATTCAGTTGACTTGGTGTCACACCTAAAAAGCTAAAAGTGTTTATTTAAGGCAAAGTGCTTAATGTGACACTGTTGTATCTGGCTCTATGTACCTGTCTTTTATGTGTCATTATCTGTATGTCGCCCTGTCTGTCTGTTTAGTGTGACGGTCGTTGTGTCTGTCATTTAACATAATAACTGTCGATGTGTCGCTTTGCTATTAATACCTAGCTAAACGCTAGTATATGTACAACACCTAGCTAAGTGCTAGTAGAATTACAACACCTAGCTAAGTGCTATTAGAATTATGCCTGAGATATTCAAAGGTGTTTGTGTTTATTCATACACAGGAGCAAGAAAAATATTAGAAATGATAATTCCTGAACAGATCGTATTCCCATTCTGAAAATCTTTATTTAGTCAAATTGAAACTGGTCTATATTTGTAATTTGTAAAGATTCTGTACGGGTATTTATGTAGACAGGTCAGTTGTATGGTAACTTATGGACCATTATAAGTTAACGATAAATGCATCTCACCTAACCAAATACTATAGCACTATGCAGAATACCAAATGAAATAACATCTCAAATCATCAAATGCCATTCAGGTACATAAGCGGCTCTCCCTAACACAAAAACAAACCTGAATAACCTCTAACACTCCTTGACGAAATTACCAAATTACCAAGAAACCACAAGAACCCCCCCCCCCCCACCCCCATTCACGTTTAGGAGGTTGTCAGTAAAAAAAAATACAAGGCATAAATTTTGGTTTTAAAAAATCAAACCACCCGATATAAAAAAATATTATATTAGTTGTAATGAATGGTTTTTAGATTTCATCTGAACATTTCAATGAAGTAAATTTTGAAAAGAAAAAAAAGATTTCAGTAGTTAAAATTCAGGCGCCGCAATCAAAACATTTTTTCGCATATTTTGGTAAACAATGTCGTAAATTTATAAACGTAGAACGCATTTGGTGTGGGGGGTAGTGCAAGACTGTCAAGTCAATCAATCCCCAACCACTTGGGGGGGGGGAGCATCATAATCTGGGTTGGAAGCTTATGTACCTGCTTCTGGTGGCAATTACTGGGTTGGAAAACAAGCTGGAATCCAATAAACACTAAAGCTTGAAGACCTCCCCTCACATATGCAACAACAAAAATACAATAAGAACAAAACACATGTACAGATCAAAGCAGCAAAAACAGGTCTAAATATCAACACCAATAAATCCAAAGTTATGACCATAATCTCTTGCAAACTAAAGACTAAAGAGATTTTAAAAATGACACATTGTATTTATTATGGAAGTGTAGTGTCAATTAAAGGTTGTATCGAAGGTTGTATTAAAGGTTCGGACCGGAATCAGCAGGAAATATTCAATTCTGATGTATTACAGATACCAATAAGTTCAGAACCTTTGGTACAAATCTAAAGTCTGTTTTACTCTATGGCTCAGGGACACGGAGGGGTACGCCTACAACACGGCGTCATAAGCAGGTCGTTAAAACGCTTCTAGAAAATACACCTGTCAGAGAACATTTCTAAGCAACACCCGTGAGGGCCGGGCACATCCCCAGAAAGTTAAATAGTCCCAACACTGGGGTAGCAGCAGAATCCCGAGGGGAGAGGTATTTTGAAGACAGTGACTTGTCATGGTTCAAGTTTTACAAAGTGTGCTCGTATGACCATAAAATACACCTTCTTAGTTCATTTGACCTAAATAGTTCGTGTGAACTATAATCAAAAATTGAAAATAAAACAGAAGTGACAAAAATGTATTTGGTTGTCGGCGTGAACCCACATACATATGTTTAAAATTTTAATTTGGTCATCTCTGGAATGACAAAACAAAACAAGTCTTTGTCAAGGTCGTTTGGCCCCCACACCTCTAGGGCCACCCCCACCCCTCTAACATCACACCCACCCCTCTAGCGTCACCCCACCCCTCTAGCGCCACCCCACCCCTCTATGCCACCACCCCTCACACACACACACACCCCTATGGCCACCCCCACACCTCTAGCGCCACCCCCACCCCTCTAGCACTCCCCACCTCTCCCGGGACCTCACGTCTTTTTTGTTGCTTCCCCTGTAGACCACGTGATATTGTGATGACGTCACGGGAATATGGTGTCACCAATGAAGACGGTCGCGAGCAGAGCAGTCTACCAGAAAACAATATCGCCTGCTGTATTAGCGCCCGGGGCAGGGGACGAGATGATGTAGAAGCAGTAATGGAAGTTTGACTCTTTGCTCTACTACTGATGGCTGGCTGCTTGGGTCTGAAACTTGCTTGTCTCGCGTAGCTAGAGTCACTTCCCCTGGTTTGTAGGGCGGAACTTGCAAGTTGTTTGGTTGTTTTCGATTTCAGCAGCTCGTGTTTGATGAAAGGCTCATTTCATTCAGGTGGTTTCTGTCAAACTACCGGCTATCTACTGTATGTCTGCTGTCAATATGCATCCAGTCTGCCTGTCAATATACCCGTCAGTCTGCCTGTCTATTCGCCTGCCTATATGACACCAGTCTGCCCATCCATATTCCCCTCAATCTGCCTTTATATGCCCGTCTGTGCCCTAATTATGCCCACCAGTCTGCCCGTCTGTGTGCCTGTCAACATGCTTACCAAATGTGTAAGACTTGTTTTTTCCAGTACCTTGGTTGAGGCAAAATGATTTTCTTTTTTAATCTTCCATCCCTCACATGATTTTTATTCTAGTAACGTCTAGACCGTGCTGAGCCTTACTCTACCTCTATTTACATGTCATTTGATTCAGTTTTTGTACAGTTTTCTATCTTCAGTATTTAAATAACGGAATATTCAATGCCTCAGCCCTAATCTTTCGCGGATGTAGGTAGTTTTCCAAGACATCTGCTGTCCTCAGATGACCCCGTCTTAAGGGTTATCTTTGGCGCTCTTTCTTTTGCCTTTTCTGTTGACAACAGTGGCGTAGCTACCGTAAAGCTAGCGTAAGCAAGGCATAGGGGCCCAAGGCAAATAGGGGCCCTTTTTCGAAAGTTTGAGGGGGGTGCAAATCGAAAGTCTGAGGGGGGGGTGCAATCGAAAGTTTGTCCCCGGTCGCCGGGAAGGGTCGCTACGCCTCTGATGGGCCCACTAACACTTTTTGCATAGGGGGCCCAAAAATCTTAGCTACGCCACTGGTTGACAACACTTACATAACACACCAGAACTACAAACGATAACCATATTTTTAAAAATTCTTTAACATTAAAACTTGAGTCAATTATTTAACTAGTGGTAAAATTGTATCCGTTAAATAAAATTTGACGGAATTAAAATCTATACGTTAAGTTTGATAAGAAGTCAAACTACGACAGAAATTGCGTGGGACGAGTCAAGTTGTGGATAGCGGAAGGATACATTTGTTCGTCAGCTTTAATTTTAAGAAACTGGCCAAATGTGGCTAATTAGATGTAAATTTGGCCATGCTGGTCCATATTCGATCAGTGACTGTCAATATGGCCGGCTTGTCGGACAGCCCATGTTTCACTCGGCTTTTATCGGCCCAAATAACGGTCGAAATAACGGTCCAAATAACGGTCCAAATAACGGTCCAAATAACGGTCCAAATAACGGTCCAAATAACGGTCCAAATAACGGTCCAAATAACGGTCCAAATAACGGTCCAAATAATGGCCCAAATAACGGCCCAAATAACGGTCCAAATAACGGTCCAAATAACGGTCAAATAACGGTCCAAATAACGGTCCAAATAACGGTCCAAATAACGGTTCAAATAACGGTCCAAATAACGGTCCAAATAACGGTCAAATAACGGTCCAAATAACGGCCTAAATAACGGTCCAAATAACGGTCCAAATAATGGCCCAAATAACGGCCCAAATAACGGTCCAAATAACGGTCCAAATAACGGTCAAATAACGGTCCAAATAACGGTCCAAATAACGGTCCAAATAACGGTCAAATAACGGTCCAAATAACGGTCCAAATAACGGTCCAAATAACGGTCCAAATAACGGTCCAAATAACGGTCCAAATAACGGTCCAAATAACGGTCCAAATAACGGTCCAAATAACGGTTCAAATAACGGTCCAAATAACGGTTCAAATAACGGTCCAAATAACGGTCCCGCACGTGTCGATGCTTCGATCGAGTGAGCACACAGGTTTATAAATGCATCTTGACTTTCCCCCCCCCCCCCCCACCGCACCACTGGTTAGCCTTTTTTAGCTTTATGTTGACTGTCCGCCCCCCCCCCCTCCACCCTGCACACATACAGTTACAAGTTTTATAGTTTTTTATTGACTAGCAGTGCTTTATGTTGCGTTACGTTGAGCAGAAATTGTAGGTTGTCTTTACTATGGTGGGTAAAGACCATATGGTGGGTTGTCTTTGAACTCTTGGGTTGTCCTTTAACTGTTGGGTTGTATTTGTATTTTTGGGTTGTCTTTGTGTTGTCGGGTTGTCTATGTATTGTCGTATTTTATAATGTTGTATTGTTTTTTAACTGTTGGGTTGTCTGTTTTCGGGTAGTTTTTAAACTATCGGGCTGTTTGCTCTATATTTTAAAACATTGATGTTTCTCTTCACAGATGAGAAGAACGGACCAAAATCTGGCAGCCATGTTTGTATGACCGGTGCATCTAACAGTGGATTAACTAGAGTCATCTTCAGCGCGGGACTTATCCAAACAAGTCACATCACGTGACTTATTCAACTCAAAACACGTGACCTAACCAGGCCAGCTACAGAACGTGAGTAACCGCCTAGAATATTCTAGAAGAAACAAACCCCGCTGTTCAGGTGTGCCTAGGATATTGTCCTTTCAATCACGCGAGTTATTAATAGCTACTGACACCTGGGGGGTCAGGGGGAGATAACCAAGCTACTCCTGATCGATATTAATCAATCCGATCGCGTTAGGAAGATGCAGACAGGTGTTTCTTAAGCCTTCGACTGGCCGAGTGTGAGCAGGCTACTCCATGGATCAACCTCTCTCATAGCCTCTGCTCACACGAAGGTGAAAGGTCAAGCTCTAAGAATGGAAGTCCTCTTGTGTTTGTTTACCTTTTCCATGGTCCTGTACAAGATGCCGGTCGCTGAGGCCAAGGTCATGCCGGACCCGGCAGCCAAGCGCCTGTTCTACGATCTGATGACGGTCAGTGGATACAATGCTTTGATCAGGCCGTCTGCTGGGCCGTCTAAAAAACTCACGGTCAAGTTGGGGTTACGTCTGTCTCAAGTCCTGGCAGTGGTGAGTACACTACGTGCAGTAACACGTGCATTAACACTTGTGTGAGCAGTGGGGGGGGTTATAGGTGTGTGTGCTAGAATAGTGGGGGTGTCATTGGTGTGTGTGTTGGGTAGGAGGGGTTATAGGTGTGTATGTGAGTGTTAGAATAGTGGGGTGTGTCATTGGTGTGTGTGTGTGTTAGAATAGTGGGGTGTGTCATTGGTGTATGTGTGTGTTAGAATAGTGGGGTGTGTCATTTGTGTGTGTGTGTTAGAATAGTGGGGTGTGTCATTTGTGTGTGTGTGTGAGTGTTAGAATAGTGGGGTTGTCATTGGTGTGTGTGTGTGAGTGTTAGAATAGTGGGGTTGTCAATGGTATGTGTGTGTTAGAATAGTGGGGTGTGTCATTGGTGTGTGTGTGTGTTAGAATAGTGGGGTGTGTCATTTGTGTGTGTGTGTTAGAATAGTGGGGTGTGTCATTTGTGTGTGTGTGTGTGAGTGTTAGAATAGTGGGGTTGTCATTGGTGTGTGTGTGTGAGTGTTAGAATAGTGGGGTTGTCAATGGTATGTGTGTGTTAGAATAGTGGGGTGTGTCATTGGTGTGTGTGTGTGTGTTAGAATAGTGGGGTGTGTCATTGGTGTGTGTGTGTGTTAGAATAGTGGGGTGTGTCATTGGTGTGTGTGTGTTAGAATAGTGGGGTGTGTCATTTGTGTGTGTGTGTGAGTGTTAGAATAGTGGGGTTGTCATTGGTGTGTGTATGTGTGTGAGTGTTAGAATAGTGGGGTTGTCATTGTGTGTGTGTGAGTGTTAGAATAGTGGGGTGTGTCATTGGTGTGTGTGTGTGTTAGAATAGTGGGGTGTGTCATTGGTGTGTGTGTGTTAGAATAGTGGGGTGTGTCATTGGTGTGTGTGTGTGTTAGAATAGTGGGGTGTGTCATTGGTGTGTGTGTGTTAGAATAGTGGGGTGTGTCATTTGTGTGTGTGTGTGAGTGTTAGAATAGTGGGGTTGTCATTGGTGTGTGTGTGTGTGTGAGTGTTAGAATAGTGGGGTTGTCATTGTGTGTGTGTGAGTGTTAGAATAGTGGGGTTGTCATTGGTGTGTGTGTGTTAGAATAGTGGGGTTGTCATTGGTGTGTGTGTGTTAGAATAGTGGGGTGTGTCATTGGTGTGTGTGTTAGGATAGTGGGGTGTGTCATTGGTGTGTGTGTGTGTTAGAATAGTGGGGTGTGTCATTGGTGTGTGTGTGTGTTAGAATAGTGGGGTGTGTCATTGGTGTGTGTGTTAGGATAGTGGGGTGTGTCATTGGTGTGTGTGTGTGTTAGAATAGTGGGGTGTGTCATTGGTGTGTGTGTGTTAGAATAGTGGGGTGTGTCATTTGTGTGTGTGTGTGAGTGTTAGAATAGTGGGGTTGTCATTGGTGTGTGTGTGTTGGTGTGTGTGTGTGTGTGTGAGTGTTAGAATAGTGGGGTTGTCATTGTGTGTGTGAGTGTTAGAATAGTGGGGTTGTCATTGGTGTGTGTGTGTTAGAATAGTGGGGTTGTCATTGGTGTGTGTGTGTTAGAATAGTGGGGTGTGTCATTGGTGTGTGTGTTAGGATAGTGGGGTGTGTCATTGGTGTGTGTGTGTGTTAGAATAGTGGGGTGTGTCATTGGTGTGTGTGTGTGTTAGAATAGTGGGGTGTGTCATTGGTGTGTGTGTTAGGATAGTGGGGTGTGTCATTGGTGGGTGTGTTAGGATAATGTTATATGACAAGGTGTGAGTTAGACTGGTGTGTTCTACGTGTGCCAACTATAATTGAGTGTGTAACGTACTTGTCAGCTTAGAGTTAAAGTACGCTGTTTACTAGAGCTTTGTTTGTTATCTCCATCTAGCCTGCTCTAGTTTAGATAGACTATATAATAGACTGGGCTAGTTATGATAGACTATATAATAGACTGCGCTAGTTTAGATAGACTAGATAATAGACTGGGCTAGTTCGGATAGACTTGATAATAGACTGGACTAGTTTAGATAGACTAGTGATGATAGATAGACCGTATCTGATAGTAGTAAGTGACTGTTACATATAAAACGAGACATCCCATTTTCAAAAGCAGCAGCTAAGTTAAAATGAATGAGTCGTGATTTCTATGGATGAGACTCATCGGGGGGGGGGGGGGGGTGAGATGTGGGTGGGTCGTCACCGTTATAACTGACACGAAAATAAACTTGTGACACCTAACAAGGTAATCCTAACCCATATGCCAATCAGCGGTGTTGGTTATAGACTGGTTTTTGTGGTCATCTGATCTTGTGACGCTAATCCTTCAATCATGGTCCAGAACATGTTTACCCAACCGTAACGTTTCCTGCTGTTTCTTGCTATACCGGTCTTTTACCGGAACTAAGCCGGTATTCCGGTATTTTCCCGGAGCTAAAACGGCATTCCGGTCTTTCCCGAAACTAAGGCGACATTCCGGTCTTTTCCTGGAACTAAGCCGGCATTCTGCTCTTTCCCAGAACTAAGCCGGCATTCCGGTCTTTTCTGGAAATAAGGAGACATTTCTGTCTTGTCGTGAACCAAGCAGCCAAACTCCCGACCAAAGACAACTAAAATCCTATCGAACCTATGGCCCCGCCGGGACGGGCTGGAATTGCCTAGCGTCGGGGATGTGCTGCTCAGACCCCCGGGGATTTCAGCTTTTGGCTCCTACACTGAAGATTTAATGTACCAACTTGTCAGTTTTATAGAAAGGGCAGGTCTTGTTTTCTCATTTTAAAAAGGTACAAGTGATGTACTGTAGCGATTTTTGTCAAGTTTTAGTTTATTTGTCAACTTTTTATCAATCTTTTTATTTTCTCGTATACTGAGTACAGAGGAAATATTGCAATCGTGCACAAAAATCACATGAAATTTTGAAAGTCTTCACAGTGTTACACCTCAGTACTTCATCATATACGGAGTATAGGGGGCTTATTTTAATCGGGCAAAAATTCTGAATCCAGATTTATAACAATCTCAGCGTTTTACGCGTCATCGAGTCGGAAAAACTAAATTTTGTCTGTAGGTCTGTGTGGATGTGTGTCTGTCTGTAAATACGATAACTTCATTACCGTTACAGCTAGGTTCATGAAATTTCATATATAAGTATTACAACGCATGTGCATTTCTGTATCATCTTTTCAGTGATTTCCGGTAAACGGAAGTGGAACTTATTCTACTTTCGGTTTTTCAAAAGCTTGAGTACTGTTTCTAATAAACGAAATTTCACAAATAAGTAAAATATCTAATTATCTGTTTTCTGTCAAATCTTCAGTAACTTCCGGTGACCGGAAGTAGTACTTAACGCAATTTCCGATTTCTCAAAAAAAAATGTATATGAATGTATAAAGTACTAATATTCCGCATATTATTGTTACTGTTCACTTGATGCGCAATTCTTTTTTCTACGAGATTCTATTCTATTTTAAAAAGTTTAAGTATGCCAAAATTTATTAAAAATCGTGTCTATATCCCGAGTTGCCATCCCCCGTAGTGTTATATATTCGAGAAAGTTTAGGGGAGATCACTCCCGCTTTATTTGATTTTTGTTCAACAATCAGAGTTAAGGGTAGGGTTTGGGTTATGTGTGAGAGTGATGTTTAGGTTACAGATTCCATTAGCACAAATGTTAGGGTTGAGATATTATCAAAAGACAGCTTTAATGCACATTAATGGCGTTTAACCGATAGAAGAATTTCACGATAGCGGGTCCAAATATTCCTTCACTCTTACGTGTTCTCTTGATCCTTTTCTCCACATAAATCTTCAGGTAGTTAGTCACCTATAGAGCTGTCATATCTTTTATCCTACATCATCAGCTAGTTAGTCATCTTTATAGTCATATCACTTAACGTAACTCAACAGGTAGTTAGTCAGCTGTAAGGTAATATCTCTTCAAGTGAAAAGCCCAAAGCTGAACGCTCAAGATATTTATTTGGCTTTGGTCGGCTATGTTTTTTTCTGGCAAAGATCTTTCCGCTGCAGTAGTGGTTGAGAATTCATTAGATCAAGGCGCCTATGTGGGTAGAAATCTGGCCACCCGATCAATAGCTACACTACAGGAGACATTTGACTTGCCAGTTGGGGTGGACCAATGGCCCCCGGCTGAATCAACCAGTGTCAATCACAGAGGAAATGTTCAAGTTTTTTTAAACAACCATTTGAGTACTGTTCATCAACTATTGCTTTGATTTCAATCATGCCTTGTTTGCGTTCCTTGTCTGCCGGTAGAGGGCGACGGGTGGTTGTTAGGTAGCACTGTTGACGTGACTATTTTTAGCTTTTAAATATGACGTAGGCATCCGTTATTTATAGATAGAATGTAATGCCAGCTATAGTAGACGTGTGTTGCTAATGAATCTTACGCGTATGTGTATTATGTGTTTTAGTTTTTAAAGTTTTTAACATTTCACAAATGCGCATGTAATTAGCATCGTAATAAACTAATTAAACGTACGTGCATTGACTCTACTCCATAAATATTTACTCATTAATCAAGTGCGTTAAAAAATATTCTCTTAAATTAAAACCAACATATAATTAAATATAATTCGTGGAGGCTTAGGATAATCCCCGCACATAACTCATAGAGGCTTAGGTTAAACCCCGCACTTAAGTCATGGAGGCTTAGGTTAAACCCCGCACATATCATGTAGCCTTAGGCTAAACCCCGCACATAAGTCTTGTAGCCTTAGATTAAACCCCGCACATAAGTCATTTAACCTTAGGCTAAACCCCGCACATATCAAGTAGCCTTAGGTTAAACCCCGCACATATCATGTAGCCTTATGTTAAACCCCGCACATATCATGTAGCCTTAGGTTAAACCCCGCACATATCATTTAGCCTTAGGCTAAACCCCGCACATATCATGTAGCCTTAGGCTAAACCCCGCACATATCATGTAGCCTTAGGCTAAACCCCGCACATATCATGTAGCCTTAGGCTAAACCCCGCACATATCATGTAGCCTTAGGCTAAACCCCGCACATATGTCATG